TGCATACATCTTGAATGTATGAACCGTGCATCAAAAGGAATATAGTGAATCCCATTTCAAGACCTTTATTTCTGATTGTTGTGGGTGTTTTGTATGGCCACATTCCATTTGCTATCATTAACCAACAGTGGTGGCCCGGGTAAAGTGTCCTTAAATGACAAGGTTACTTAAGCATTTGAGATTTGAATTGAGGTAGGATGTTAACCAAGGACTAATATGCCTTGCTGGCACTTGATATCTGAGCAGGAAAACATGATTGAGCCAGGTATTCTCAACATTCAAGGTGATGTAGGAGTGTCAGTGTCATTTTGAGAGGACAGCAAGCCTGTATGAGGAAGTAGGACTGCTCAAAATAAGCACATGAAAACTTCATCCCAGCATATAAAATGTCTTGCATTCCACAGTACCAGAGTTGCCCTGTTTTTTTAGCATTAGTAGGTAACAGGCACTTGATAAATGTCAGAGCATAAATCTAAGGGTGGAAATTAATATAAGGAATGGTATCTCAGGTCCAGGAATTTTGTCTCTACTGATATTTTCTGGTTTGAAGTTGAAGTCATTAGACCCCAATGGGTTCCAAGTGGGTTTCATTCAAATTCATAAATTCAGGAAAGGTTACTTATAATTCACCTTCAGGTTAATGCAAAAACATGGCCCAGATTTGCTAAAATTTTGCACACAGCAGATAAGGTGTCTCTCTGACCGCTCCAGGTAGCTTTCATCTTAAAATAACTTTAGATCTGAGACTACAAATAATGTCAGATGTCTTGATGTAATTTGAAGCTTATTCAAATAGAAAATGACATAAATTTCAGTTTATTATCCTTTCTTTACTTGATGAGATGATCATCTACATCCTTTTAGCAGCTCCTATTGGATACTTCACCAAGCTTATTCCAAAGATAAAATGCCTTATCATCTTAAGAACATCTTGAGTTGTTCCCTTGTCAGCTAAAAAGCAGGCCTTTAAGCCTTACGAACTTATTCGGTTTATACTGAATGCAATGGTGAACTTTATGATCAGGAAAGGTTTTAAGACTGGTATCAGGGATACTGGAATACAGGGGGATGCAGGATCAGAAAAAAGTGGACAACTAAATTACTTCCAAATTTGCTTTGTGCTACTCTAGACACTAACCAAAGGTATTTCAAGGACTGGTTTAGGTATTCTTTAAGATAATGGAACATTACCTGTGGATTTTGATGGAAACAACATTCATCCAACTTTTAGGGAAATGTGTCAGATTTTTGAAGCAGGAAATCACCACAATGTATAGTGTCTCCTTCAACCATAAAATCATGCTGTTTATCTCCTTAATTAAATCCCTGAAACTTCTGGTTTGAGCTAGTGATTCGCTCTTGGAAATACAGATTCCAATTCAGCTACAGGAAATAGTCACAACCTGAACTGAACCATGTCAGCACATGCTGCCTTCTTTCCATCCTGTCTTTTTCTAGTTTCATTGCCAGTGACTGGCTTTCAGCAATGAAATATTTCTCTGCTTGATTAAAGAATTTTATGAGTTCTCATCTTTGCCCAAATTTTTTGTCCATCTCTTTCTGTCTTCAAATCATTCTTCCAAAGGGAAATGAGGAATAAAAACACTGTTAAGTTTCCATAACCGTGACTAATCTGTCAGCCCTAAATGATTCCTGACCTAGAAATTAGTAATTGTCTAAAGGAGAAAATGATCAATAACTATCCAGTGGAGATAGTCTGAGTTCAATATGTCAGCGGTCATTTCCTCACCACGCTGTGTATCTTTGAGGCTTCATATAGAGCTGAATAAGACAGCACCACACATTCTAAAGGGATATCGGCAAGAAAGAGCAAGACTCCTTTCACTGGACTCCTTGCATGTATGGACAGAGTCTGTTTCTTTGTCATATCAGAAAACAGGTAGTATTCCAGTGAATTTTCAGTGTTCAGGGTTTGATATGAACTACTATATTCAAGAAATTGCTACAAACAGAATAGAGTTATAACTGTTTCAAGAACTCTACAAATGCCTGCGAGCAAACACTTTGGTAGCTTAATAGTGTGGGAAAAAAAGATTTAGGTAGGAATCTGAAAATGCAGATTCTTTACTTTTAGCTTCTTTTTGTATTCTCCTTATTCTGTGTTCTCTGAGCACTGTTTTTAACTAAAAGACAGTGGTGAATTAGTTTGTTAACTGTGTCCTTGAGTTTAATTACATGTGTGGGACTGATGTGTCTGGAAGACTCCGTGGAGTGAAACTTTCTAACAGATCCAAGTGGTCTCTTTAGACCATTGAAGTACTCAGGGGGCTCAGGTTGTGCTTCAGCTCAGGTTAGTGGTTAGTGTAGTACTAATTCATGCTTACACCGGCTTTTGTAGCAGAAATTGTTAATTTCTCTTTCATTCTCCATGTTTCAGGTATTTTCTGACCATTAAAATACTCAGGCTGAGTCACATTCCTAACCGGGCAGGATTCCCTGTGTTTTACTCACTAGGTTGTTTACTAATTCTATGTAAACAGAGATAACTCTGAGGTTTTCCATACCATACCTAATAAATTTCAACACTCTCAGTACCCCTAAGAGTTCTCTTTTAAGTCACACAGTATCAGATAGGAGCCTGCCAATGCACAGCATGTGATGTGGTGTTTGTGCTGAAGTAAGTTAGTATGGAGGTGTTTTCTAATTGGTGCTCTGCAAGCACTATTGATGAAAGTTAATCACAGTGAGATAGTTGCACTAATGTGATAAACACAGGAGGAGCATTGCTACTTGCTTTCCTAAATGTACATGAACTCTGGATTCTATAATTACTGATCTGTTTTTAATCAAAATAATGTGATTTGAGATACTTCATTTTGTAAGTATTTCCCAGAGAGCAGTTTTCATCTTAGTTATTTAAAGCACTGTTCAATAATGAGGGTTTTATACTCAACTTTTTATACAAGACGTACTAATAGTAATACTAATTGCATTTTGTGCTATTCCCAAACTATCTTCTCAAACAGAATGGGCTTCAAGTTTCCTTCTATGGGTTGACTACTAATAATGTGCATAGGCTTTTGCTCTGACTAAGCCTTGTGTGGCCCAGCTGCCAATCACAGGCTTGCCATAAGCACCATGAAACCATAATGAAGCACAAGATTATGTAAACAGGAATGAAAATATCCCAACCAGCGAACCATATACATATTTATATATAAATTACATTCTTCGTCATCCTCTTCAGGGATCCTTCTGAATAGAAACAAGTTTTATTTATCGTGTGAGCATCCTCTGCCCTGTAAATGCATAATAATGGAACTCATTCAAATACAAGAAAAAAATGCAATTAGAAGTTATACCTAAATTCTCATCAGTTCAAGTGCCTGTTTCTGATGAGATATTAATACAAGCTCATCAGTTATAAGTATGTATCAAAATTGGCTTTAGGTGTGAGTCTTTCACGTTCAGAAGTATACTGGCTAAAATCAAGAAATAAGTGGCCACTTACATCAAGATCTAACTATATTCTTTTCTAGCAACAGAAACCAAATGTTTCAGAAGGGGAACTGAACAACATTCCTTTCCTCCAACCTTTTCATATGTGTTCCTTTTCATACGCTGACCTTAATTTTGAAATCTACCTGGAAAAATGCTGCAAGTTCAAGACAGTAGAGGAATATGGGGCAATTTTGCAGCTGAACTAACTGTCACACTGCTGGAAATCTTTTAACAGAAGAACTTTTTCCTGAAGAGCACATTTACCAAAAGGTGCTCTTGAAATTTCTTGAAACACTTGAAATACAGTTTTCCAGTTACCCAGATGAAGTGTTTTGATATTTTCAAACTGAAATCATGCTTTGTGACTTAACAAAGAAGAGTCCTGAATATCAGTTTTCAGTGTTGATATGTAATGAACTTTTTGTTCCTTTTTGTGTATAGTTTCATATTATTCCAATATGAAGGAATGGTCTCTCTGGACTCCAGATTTTGGCACAAAATGGATTTCTAGATAGACTATAGTACTGAGTGTTCAGTATTTATGTATGGAAAGTGTGCTTGAAAGTTTGGACACTCAAAAGACTGATTACATCCCCTTAGTATGTTTTTGTTTGAATGAGTTCCCACTGTCTTGTTAGTATTCTTTGGAACCACTGCTTCCCCATGGTAAATGCTTCTTCTGGAAGCATGAGAAGCTTTTGGATTGTGTCAGGAAGAGAAAAGAGCAAACAGACAAAAAGAAGAAAGCTTCATTCCACTATGTCTGATTTGAAGTTTTCTAAAGATCTGGACACAGAACTTAGCTTTTATTGGAAATGGGATTTTAAATACCCCTGCTCCCTTATATGGCCAACCAGAATCAAGGTGCTGGAAACACTCTGGATATCAGAACTGTTTTCCCAAAACTTCATAATTCTCACAACTATTCTGCTAAACTGTCACAGCTTGAAAACAGGGGTTGGGTACCAGATTTTCCTGTGTTCAAAAAGTCTTAAAGCAGAGATTGCAGCTTCTGTTGAGTTCTTTCTATACTATAGGCAGCTCAGTTGTAGCTTTATTAACCATGATATAGAGGACATCATGTCAGCACTATTTATTTCTTACTTTCTAGTTGTCTCTTAGAAAACAGGCACTTAGTCTACAAGAGCTAGTTTCTGATTTATTACATTCATTCTTAATGTTTTTTTTCCATCTAGTTTTGTTTGTTTTGAAACATTACTTTAAGTTAATAAGATCTTGGTGGAGAGGTCTGTCTTGTCCCCAAGTGAAATTGCTCCTCTCACTCCTTTCCTTGTGCTTCTCTTTGTCTCCATTATCAGTAATTAATGCTTTTTTACCTAAGTGAGTTTAATCAGATTTCTGGCACATGTATCGCATTTAACATCAGTGTAAACACCAGTCATTTAAAGACAGTTACTACTAGTTTCCAGAGCTTAGTTTAGATTTTGTCTCTCATTGTTAAAGCACAGCCTGAGAAGGCATCCTTCCTTGGATGTCATGAAAGAAATATCTCACTGAATGTTTTCCTCCACAGAGAGGAAAACTATGGAACATCTCCCAGCACACTGAAACATGTTTATGCACACTTCTCTAGCAAGACAACATCAGTACTGCAATCTAAAGAGTCCTGTTGTCAGAGAAAGGTTATATGTTACAAAGCTGACAAGAATTTCTGTATGCTGGAGCAGGAATGTGTTCTTTCACTGGTTTTATAAATATTTCTTCAGCCTTAATGTATTTTTTTTATAACAGTGAACCCTGGTACAACAATGATAAAATTTTCATTTGTATCTGGTGAGGCAGACAAAAAAATTGATGATAGTCTATAAGGCCCATAATTTATGAGCTAATAACTGTAATACAAGCATAACCACAACCTAAAATTCATGAGAATTATACATACAGTCATCTAGGACTTAGTGGCCAAAGGAGCTTCTTACTTTTGGAATTAAACTGGTGTAAAACATAAGGTAACACTGTCATTGAGAGACCATGATTTCTGTCCCAGTGCCCTCCCTGCCCTTCCCCAAAGCCCTCACATTTTCAACTTATCAAAAGTGTCGATAAAGGATATCTGTGAAAGGTTTTGTCTTTCTGCCTGTGAAATGGAGTTCTTGAGATATTTTCCAAGTTGTTCACAAAAAATAATATTTTGATTGTTTAATCAAAGAAGAAAGTGCTTTTTCCAGAAGAGCCAGGAAGGGATTGATCAGGACATTCACTACGGATGTGAGGGTTCTGAATTATGTAAGAAATTACTTAGAGAACTGAGCGGGCTCTGTCTGTTTCTCAGACTCCAAATCCCAAACTGGAGCTTCCTTTATTGAAGGATTCATTAAAACTCACGTGTAACATTGAAAAGTTTCTTTTAAAGAATTAAAGTTTTCAGACAAGAATATTTCACTAAATCTATAGAACCAACTTCCAGACCTTCTTTTATATTCTTTCTAGGCTGTTACAAAAGAAGTTCAACATTTTTTATATTTTTTATTAAAGATGACTGAAATTTAGAATGAAATGCCATGTAATGTATTCCTAGTGGCGGTAGAACAAGCAGAAATGTGAAAAATAGATCAATATTAATCAAATAGTTGATCAAAGATGCTCTGGACAACATTTTTCATGTTTCCAGAAATCAGAAACAGTTCCTGGTGGTACAGTGCTGTAGATGATATATTTGGATGAGTGCTTGACAATTTGGAAAGCTCTCTTTACTCAGTTCATTCCTTCTCAGTTTTTATGGCCTAAAGTATCACTGTGTGCAAGTTTCCTTCCTGCCTATGCCTTGCCAAGGACATTGACAACATCCTGCTCATTAGTGCTGTCCTGTAATGTCTGATGAGTGCTCTCACCACTGATTCTGTATAGGAATAGCCATAGAAGATCAAGCCACAGTTCAGTTTTATCTCTGTTCTTGGCTCTAGCAGTAGCCAAATCCTGGTGTTCCAGACAGTCAGTCCTTGGTAAAAATATTCTTGCCTGATTTATGGCACTATACATGGAAGAAAAATGACTTAGGGTGAATTTTGATCTCTTCAGCATCTATGATGATCAGCTTATACCTGATGAATATCACTACACCAAACTGAATAAACTGTGCATGTTCATTGTGTCATTCTTCTCCATTCTCTTCCATTGATTTCATTCTTCTTCTAGAATAAGTAAATAAAAATGTAGTATATTAAATTAAGCAGAAGATATATAGGATTTATCAAGTGCCCTCCCTTCCCAGCTTCACCTGCACTGTGCTTCATTTTATAGTTGTTCTGAGCTGCCAGTGCTCTGAGTCTTTAACATCTGTATTGTTGAACACAGATTCTGCTGCTTAACAAATAGAAATGTAACCTTGTGCCAGGCTGATATTTAAATATATGATCCTAAATAATACAGAGTGCTACAGGCTGAAATTAAACTGCTGGATGATTTGCTGGTGCTGGTTTCAAGTAGACTCCCTTTTACTTTTTATGAAACATATTTAGTTCTCTTTTTATGGAACAGGATGCCAAAATGAGGTAATGCTTTGTAAACCGGTTATTCCTTCAGACACACTAACTAACAACCCTGGAATTCTTTGCAGAGCATAAAATTTGACATACCCCTAGGAAAAGGTCACATACAGTGAACTGTTGAGGCAGAAGGAAGAAAATAATACTAAAAAACCCACCAAAAATTCCAAAAGAAATCAAAACATTCTAATATACCCCAAATTATTCTTTCAATTTTCATGTTGATTAATAAAGGAAATAAGGGTTATCTTAAAAAATATGTGTAGGTACCTACATGTTAGCTGAAAACATTGCTTTTAGGTTCTTATTTGTCCTGTTTACCCACTATAGCTGGGATTAATAAATCATCCAGAAAAGTTGTGTAAATCACAGTGCATTTTGCAGTTATGCTCCTTTAATTACCCTTAAGACATAGAGAAGCTGATTTTAAACATCCTCTTCTGATTTATAGTGGGGATGTCGGCTACATGCATGAGATACTCTCTCTTTCACCTTGATGAAGGTGAAATTAGTTTTGTTTTGGAATAAATTGGGGCAATTGAAAACTGCTTATCTTTTGAATAACATACCTCAAGGTGGTTTCATGTGTCATATGGTGCTGTCCATCTCTAGATCTCACACTGGTATAATTCCATTACATTATGGAATTTGACTTATTCCCAGTTTCTTGTTTCATTATAGTGCATTCAGTACCCATTAACATTCAACCAACCTGTTCCTCACCTTAGCTTTTGCTTCTGTGTTTCCTTGGCAGGCTGAGATGCAGCCTTCTCTAAAATGAAATATAAAGATTATCTTGCATTATTCTGTTGCTACAGTTTGGAAACAGAAGGTTCAAAGAACTCTGAAAGATGCTGCTGACAGTGCTGGCTAACTTGATGTACAAGTACACTTGATGTGCTATGAATAATTCTGGTTCCAATTTGCTTGTTTCCAATTAGAGAAGAAACTCAAGAATGGGCAGGACCCCCTGCAGATATGCAAATTAATGCAGGCATTAGTAATATGCTCATTGTCAGTAATCTGTGGCCCTGCAAGCTTGCACTAAAACCTACACATGGTATTGACCTCTCATTCCTGTATCCCCTGCTGATTCACCATGTGGATATATTTAGCCCTATTGCTAGCAGATCATGGTATGGAATAACTTTCTAACTATTCATTCACTTTTGGGCTGCCTTGCTGTAGAGTTAGGAACAAATCCTTCAACAAGCACAAGACTGGGGGCATAATTTGTGTGTAGAGCAACACAGTTTGGTGTGGAGATAGCCAGAAAGACCATTTTCCAGTATTTCATGTAAACCCCTGCAAAATCAGAATCTGACTCTGCTTTCTCTTCCTGTTTCAAGGCATTTTTTACCTCCCCATTTCTCACATTGCTTCAAAGCATAGTAATCTGTTATCTGCCCTTTCTCTTCCTCTCAACCTCTAATATTTGAAGCTTACCCTTTAGATCTGTCCCTCTCTTTAAGAATTCCGTTACAAACTGCTGTTGTGACACAGGCTGTCAGTTTAGCTCTCATTCTGGGCTGCTGAACAAACACCACCATCATTAATTTCTCAGTGAGAAAGTAGCACAGAAACAAGAAAATAGTGGGCATAAAGCTATTTGCCTACTTCATGTGGAATTCACACCATATAGAGGGATGTTGCTGATAGCACGTAAGGGCAACACTTCATTTAATGCATCAGTGCCTCAAATGAACACGATCCACAGCTTTGCCCATACAAGGATGTATAAGATTTTTAATAGGGTTGACTTGTGGTATCTTGTTGGTTCTAGGCTATATTCATATATCTGTTTTAGAAAGATATATTCATGCTTATGTGCTTCACAACTCCTATCAGCTCACTTAAATAAAGAAGAGCTGGAGGAAGCCTGCAGTTTCATAGTCTACTAATACAGACTCACTGCTAATCTGAGCACAGTGATGTGAAAATTGCATTTCTGTTCCTTGCTTTAAATGTAACTTTTGAAGATCCATGAATGATGGGATATGAAACTTCCCCACCCCTCTATCATGAGCTGCCAATGGACATAGAATCATAGAATAGTTAGGGTTGGAAAGGACCTTAAGATCAAGTTCCAACCCCCCCTGCCATGGGCAGGGACACCTCACACTAAACCATATCACCCAAGGCTTCGTCCAGCCTGGTCTTGAACACTGCCATGACCTAGCAGTGTGTGCTTGCAGCCCAGAAAACCAACCATATTCTGGGGTGCATCAAAAGAAGTGTGACCAGAGGGTTGAGAGAGGTGATTCTGCCCCTCTACTCCACACTGATGAGACCTCACCTGGAGCACGACATCCAGCTCTGGAGCCCTCAGCACAGGAAATATATGAACCTGTTGGAGAGGGTCAAGAGAAGGGTCACAAAAGTGATCAGAAGGATGGACTGCTGTCGTGGTTCAAACCCAGCCAGCAATCCAGAACTACGCAGCCCTCGCTCACTCACCCCCTTCCTCCCCCTGCTCCCGGACGGATGGGGAGGAGAACTGAAAGAATGTAACTCTCACGAGTTGAGATAAGAACAGTCCAGTAACTAAGGTATAACACAAATCACTACTGCTGCCACCAGTGATAATAATGATAAGGGAAATAACAAGGGGAGAGAATACAACCACTCACCACCCACCAATGAATACCCAGCCTGACCTAGCAGTGATCTAGCCCTTCTGGGCTACTGCCCTCAGTTTATATACTGGGCATGATGTGCTGTGATATGGAATACCTCTTTGGTTAGTTTGGGTCAGGTGTCCTGTCTCTGCTTCCTCCCAGCTTCCTCTCCTCCCTGGCAGAGCATGAGATTCACAAAGTCCTTGGTCAGACTAAACATTACTGAGCAGCCACTAAAAAACATCGGTGTTATCAGCGCTGTTCCCAGGCTAAAAGTCAAAACACAGCACTGTACCAGCTACTAAGAAGGAGAAAAATGACTGCTACTGCTAAACCCAGGACAAGTGCCTTTCCTATTAAGAAAGGCTGAGAGAGCTGGGGTTCAACCTGGAGAAGAGAAAGCTCCAGGGAGAACTTGCTGTGGCCTTTCAATACTTAAACGGGCCTTATAAGAGAGATGGGGACAGGTGTTTTAGAAGAGCCTGTTGTGATAGGATGTTGTTTTAAACTAGAAGAGGGTAAGTTCATGTTAGATATAAGGAAGAAAATACACCATGTTATTTTCATTTTTAGCCATGGGCTTTCCCCCACTTTATGGTGAGAGGTCTGCAGGCTGTTATATGCTGATCTGTTTTTTTCCTTAAGGGAAAAAAAGAAACTCTTGAATACAGCATGTGAGATTTAATCCTAGTTTAGGATATTATTGTTCTGTTAATGGGCACTTCCTCCATATACAAATTACCATAATTACCATTACCACTAAATTTTGTTTATTCATTTCACTGACAGATCAAGTCTCCCATATGTAGTCTCCCGAGGCATCTCCCTGGAGTGACGGCGATGCATCCTT